CTAGCAGCGGAGCTATCAGCAGAGCAAGCAGCGGAGCTAGCAGCGAAGCTAGCAGCGGTGTAAGCAGCAGAACTAGCAGCGGAGTCAGCAGCAGAGCAAGCAGCGAAACTAGCAGTGGAGCTAGCAGCGGAGCTAGCAGCGAAGCTAGCAGCGGTGTAAGCAGCAGAACTAGCAGCGGAGCTAGCAGTGGAGTCAGCAGCGGAACTAGCAGTGGACTTAGCAGGGAAGCTAGTAGCAGAGAAAGCAGCAGAGCTAGCAGAAAACCTAGCAGTGGAGTCGGCAGCAGAGCATGCAGCGGAGTCAGCAGTGGAACAAGTAGCAGAACTAGCAGTGAAGCTAGCAGCGGTGTCAGCAGCGGAACTAGAGGTGGAGCTAGCAGCAGAGCTAGCAGTGGAGTCAGCAGCGGAACTAGCAGTGGAGCTATCAGCAGAGCTAGCAGTGGAGTCAGCAGCGGAGCAAGCAGTGGAACTAGCAGCGAAGCAAGCAGCGGAACTAGCAGCGGAGCTATCAGCAGAGCAAGCAGCGAAGCTAGCAGCGGTGTAAGCAGCAGAACTAGCAGCGGAGTCAGCAGCAGAGCAAGCAGCGGAACTAGCAGTGGAGCTAGCAGTGGAGCTAGCAGCGGAGTCAGCAGCAGAACTAGCAGCAGAGCTAGCAGCAGAGTCAGCAGCGGAAAAGCAGCGGAACTAACAGTGGAGCTAGCAGTGAAGCTAGCAGCGGTGTCAGCAGCGGAACTAAAAGTGGAGCTAGCAGTGGAGCTAGCAGCGGAGCAAGCAGAGGAGTCAGCAGCGGAACTAGCAACCGAAACTAAGAAAGGACAAGAGAAGATGTCAGAATTAGAGGGTGTCCTGCGGGAGATAAGGGAGTTTAGGTGGGAGACAGTAGGAGGACTAAATGGCTTCAGAGACCAGGGGCCCGGGGCCAGGAGAGACCACATTCGTTTCCATGGGATCAGAGAGGGGGCTGAAGACGATGCAGAGTCAGTGGAGTCAGCTTTACTCAGGGAAAAGCTCGAGTTAATACCAGCGTATCGGCTCAGTCTGAGGTGAACCAACCGATCGTTAGGCCGCCGCCCATCCCAGGATGCACCACCAACATCCATAGTAGCTACATGTGAAGCTACAAAAGCTAAGATGATATATAGGTGGAGTGGTGGACTAGTGCAGAGGTCTTCAACAGGAGGTCCACGACCCCTAAGGGGTCTGCAGAGGTACTGCATGGGGGTCGTGAAAGTTTTGGTTGTATTTTTTCCATTAATTGAAATGTCTTTAAATCTTCATTAACATGAATCCAACAGACTGTAGTAAACAGATAAATGGAGGCAGAAGATGTCTTTCAGTCATCAATGCTCACATTCAGCGACACACAGGAGCTCTTTCAAGCTGGACACCGTTTCATTCACAACACCTGTCCCATCAACCAGGAATCAGGAATACTTTAATAATATCACAAAGTTACACCCTTTGTTTGAACACATAACTTACAACCAAATTAAAACCAAAAACTGTGGAAAAACTATAATGTTTGAATAAAAATGACTGAAATCTTTCATTTTGCTCATCTGTGCCCAATTTGCCCTTTCTCTGCCTGCTTGAGCTTCTTTCACTAAAATGGCAGAAAACAGTGAACCTTAAATGCTTGTTCTCTTCTATGACATATTAGGCCTACACAAAAATCTTTAAAAAGATTTAATTATACACACTAATCATTAACAATTTCAAAGGAACTTAAATAATAAAAAACAAGGAAAACAATCCCAGCTTCTATCACTAACTGTAGTTCTGCTCTCCACCAGTAGGTGGTGACATGTTCACATGAAGCTTCATTTGTCCATCACTACCTAAGCCCCATGGCAACCATGGCACCATGGCAACCCGCTGCTCAGCGGGTTGAGTTCATTCAATCATTGTTATAATGCAAATTCTTCCTTTTTATACTTTTATACTAAAGATTTTGGTTAAACGTTTTAATGATTTGTTTTTAGACTTTATAACCTTTGAAACTTTCTTGTGTTTTAAAGTCAGCTGACTCAGCAGATCTGAACTACGTCACAGCTCTGAGCGGCTGTTTCCGGTCAGCTGACCTGCAGCTCTGCTCGGTCACATGACTCCTCCGCTCAGCCTTCCAGCTGCAGGCGGATCAGAAAACGGTCCGAACCTCCTTCTGCTCCCGCTGCTCCTGGTTCTCCTGCTGCTTCGCAGGCTGTCTGCTGACTGCCGGGTCTTGAGCCTCCCACCGGGTCCTGGTCTGAGCTGAAGGGGCCCCCAGTAGAAGCATCGCCGGAGGTAAGAAGGTGCAGCAGCTCATTAATCGGACTGTTTTTGAACGCATTTTGGTTTAAAGGCGGAGGCCTGGGTTAGCTGAGTGAAGGTCAGAGGTCAAAGTCTGCTCCAGATAAGATCAGATCTGCTGCATCGCTGCTGTCAGCCAGGGGCCGCCAAGGGCCACAGGAGGCCCCAAGCAGGAGTTCACTATGGGTCCCGGGCCAGCTGGCACCATAGGGCCCTCAGGGACCACATGGGGCCCTCAGGGACCACATGGGGCCCCACAGTGGGACTTTTCATTTCTCTGTTGCTCTTCTTTTTTAATCATGTTTCATTTATAGAGAAAATTAAAAAAGAAACAAAGAATGTTAAAGACTGAGACTCCGGATCAGGAGGAGGTGATCTCTGCACCAACTGCTTCACCTCCCCTCTCTAGCAACCTCCTTTATAGTCACCTCCTCTCTCTAGTCACCTCCTCCCTGTAGTCACCTCTTCTGTCTAGTCACC